AACTTGGCTAAAAACTTCATATGCCATTCAAAATCTCCAATAGAAGTGCCGATCTTATTTGTGAAGAAAAAAGATGGATCTCTACGGATGTACATAGACTATCGAGGCCTTAACAAGATCACCATAAAAAATAGGTATCCTTTACCTTTGATTTCAAGACTTCTTGATCAACTCAATCAAGCAAAGATCTACACAAAAATAGATATACAATGAGCATACAATTTGATCCACATCAAAGAAGGAGATGAATGGAAGACTTCTTTTCGAACTAGGTATGGATATTTTGAATATAATGTCATGCCTTTTGGACTCACAAACGTACCAACTGCTTTTCAACATCTTATGAATGATGTTTTTTGTGATTTTTTAGATAATTTTGTCATTTTTTATTTAGACGACATTCTAATCTACTCTAAGAATACAGAAGAACATGAACTCCATGTTTGTCGTGTGTTACAAAAACTAAGAGATGCAGGATTATATGCCAAGTTGGAAAAGTGTGTATTCCACACTACTCAAGTTGATTTTTTAAGATACATCATTTCCAACGAAGGCCTGATGATGGATCCTAAGAAGGTCAAGACTATCATAGATTGGAAGTTTCTAAGAACAGTACGAGATGTGCAATACTTTTTGGACTTTGCAAATTACTATCGAATCTTCATCAAGAACTTTTCTCAAGTTGTAGCTCCACTTATGCATTTGACTTGTAAAGATAAATTTGAGTGGAGTAAAGAAGCTAAAATAACGTTTGATGCTTTAAAGAAGGAATTTACTTCTGCACCAATTTTGTATCACGTCGACTTCTCCAAGGCATTTTTTATGGAAATAGATGCATCAAACTTTACCTTGGGTGCCGTTTTGTCACAAATGGGAGGAGATAACAAGCTGCATCCAGTAGCTTTCTATTCCAAGAAATTTTTAGTAGCTGAGATTAACTATGAAATCCACGATAAAGAGCTTCTTGCAATTATGGATTCATTTTAAGAATGATGTCATTATCTAGAAGATACCTCAAGTCCAATCACCGTATATACAGTTCATAAGAACCTCGAGTATTTCATATCAACATACGTATTAAATCATCGTCAAGCTCGTTGAAGCATGTCTTTATCAAGATTCGAATTCATCATTACTCATCAACTAAGAAAACAATAAGATTTGTTTGATGCCTTGTCTAAACATTCTTATCTTGCACTAAAAGAAGGAAATGCAGCTTTTGAACAATAAAGAACGGTTCTCTTGAAGTTGAAGCAATTTCATCTTCAAGCAATAAAATCAATATTGATTGTTCATTTAACTTTTCTCAAGCAAGTTCAGTTAAGTATGTCTTCAAACTCTCTTGTTTATGATATCAAGAATAATTCTTTTAAATCTCATGATCCCTCTAAATTCGAATTCAAGAACAACCTACTCTATTTCAAAGGATGCCTATATGTTCCAGAAGGAGAAGTACGTTTATGTGTTCTTCAAGCTCGTCACGACTTTCTAGCAGCATGACATTTTGGATATAATAAGATGTTGGAGCTAATATCTAGGGATTTTTGGTGGCCTCAAATGTGGAAGGTAGTTAAAGATTTTGTACAATCATGTGATATTTGCTCAAGATCAAAAACTCCTCGTCATTGACCTTTTGGACTTTTTTAGCCATTATCCATTCCAGAACAACCATGGTCTTCTGTTTCTATGGACTTCATTATGGATCTTCCAAGCTCAGGTTCTTATGACTTTATATTTGTGATAGTAGATCGCTTCACCAAGATAGCACATTTTGTGCCATGTATAAAATCCATCACGAGTGAAGAAACAGCTAAGCTTTTTATTGACAACATCTATCGCTATCATCGATTCCAAAGGATATTGTATCGGATAGGGGAACTTAGTTTGTATCAAGTTTTTAGAGAAATCTTTTTAAGATTTTACAAGTGGATATAAAACTATCTTCGACTTTTCATCCTCAAACTATCGGAAAAACAGAGCACGTTGTCAGGGTAGAGAGGTTTTGCCTAAAGAAAGCACTGGGCTTGTGGTTGTAACTAATTGCTCAATCAAGCTTAAAATAAGGAAACCCTAATTTTATATATATAAGTTCTCTTTTTGGGACAATTACACCAAATACTTAAGTCTCAAATAACCAACAACATCCAAAATATGGTAGAAGTACTCTAAAACCTTGTATATCTTTGTGTGGAAATTCTCCCAAACCTAAAAACCTCATAACTCTTGATCCAACCATCTAAACAAGATCAAAATTTACATGAAGTACTAATATGTTGTTATTAATTTTTACAACAAATTTCAACCGCAAATTCGTGGCGGATCTTGAGATATCTTCAAAATCCTAACAGTCGCTTCAAACCCTAATCTTTATATACCTACGTGCAATTTTCTTCATATCTCACAAACCATAAGTCCAAATTCCACGAAACTTATATAGATAGCTTTTTAATACAAATTTTTACATTCTCTCAAAGTTTGAGCCAAAATTTCTTTCGAAAACTTAAGTTATGGCTCCTAACACTACTTTGAACATAACCACTCACTTACTGCCTTTGATTTGAATGTGTTGTCTTTAACTCCCTATAACTCCTTCACATAAACTCCAAATGCAAAATTTCCTTCGCAAAAGATGTATGTCTTGAAGTTGCCCTTCCAGCCGCACCTTTCGATCTCCAAAAGCTTTCGTAAGACTCCTAAGCTTTCTTCTCAAATTGTTAAAAACATGGATTTTGAAGAACCTAAAATTTAATTTACTCTTTTGTAACTCAAAAAGAATAAATATTCACTCAAAACTAATATAATATTGAAATTATAATAAATTTTGCCAAAGACAAGAAGGCCAAAAAGTCTTGAAATAAGACTAAGGATTAAAAAAATATTGACAAGAATAAAAAATAATTTTAAGAGTGTAATTAAATAAACAAGATATACATCAAAGAGAGATGAAATATATGTATGTATCAAGGATATGAATTGAAAGATGATGTATAAACCAATGAAATTTGTGTCAAAGAAAAAGTGAAAAAATAAAAATAAAAAAGTACGTATATTAAAAAGAAACTGAAATGGCTTATTATCAAAAGACAAGAAAACTTGAGACTCTTGAAACTAGACTAGAAGCAAGAAAGAAATTGACAAGAGTGAAGAGGGCTTTAGTCTTGCTTCTATATATATTATCTAACTAGGAGCTACGTGGCGATGTTCTATAAGACCTCTAATATGTATTGACTTTGTAGGACACATTTCTTAGCTTATAAGTCAAGTTTTCTACATGTTAGCTTGTTCTTCAAGCTATCAATATGTGTGGCACATGGCCAACTTATTGATCATGTCTCTAACCTAAAAAGTCAATTAAAGACACCTATAAAATCAAAGCAGCGTCTATGAAGCTTCTATAGAAGATATTATGGAATTGACCTACTTTTACCTATTATTATCTAAATCATATAAGTAATTATTGGTTTACATGTGTATGTCTATGATAGTATGTATATATATATATAAGAAAAAATTAAAATAGCTATGATAAATAATAAAAAGACTAGGAATTTTTTTAAACTAGACTAAAAAGAAGAAAATCATTGAAAATAGTAAGAAAGGCTTTACTTTTATTTTTAAATATAATATTTGGTAAAGAAATTATATCGCAATGCTCTTATATGTTATATATAACTTATAGAGCAAGTTTTTAAAATTTGTGCCACATAACTAACTTATAATACAAGAGGCTAATATGTGCAAATTGTATATAATTTCTTGACCAAATTTTTAACCTATCAATCATCTATCAATATAGATAAAGTCAAATTTTCATCTACAAAGCTTGTAAAAAATTCTTTAATAAGATATTGACTTAAGTCCACTTAATTATACATATATTCCTAATTATTTAAATAAATATATTATAAATTATAGATGCACCTACTTTAAGATTATTATTTTAAAATTAAAATTTATTATTTATTAATATATATTTAATTTAAGATAATAATATTAAATTTATATTTTTTTTAATTTCATCTTATTTATTTATGGATTTAAAATAAAATTTAAAAATATAAAAATATAATTAGATATTAAAATTTTAATTATTTCTAATTTATTAGCTATATATTATTTTAAATACATCTAATTATAATTTTGATTAAATCATCAAATATCTAACTTTTCTTTGTTAATTTTTTTTTTTAATAATATAAGGATATATTCTGATTTTAGAATTTGTTTTGTTTTGTTTTGTTTTTTTATGTCTTTGATACAATTTATTTTTAAAGTATTTTTTGCAACAATTAAAACTTTAAAGTAATATCATAAATAATATTTCTTTTAAAAAATTACAATCTTTTAATAGCTTTAAAAAAATTTATATTTATAATTAATTATTTAGATCCTTATTAGTTTGATATATAATAAAGTTATGATATTAAAAAATAAATTATTAATCACAATTATTTTACTCATAAATTTATATTAAATAAAATAAGGTAGACTTTCTATTCAAAATATGTTATGAATTCACGTTTAGGTACTTAATTTTTAGCTACTTTAGATTTGATTAAACAATGGTCGTACAATCTATAATGAGTAATTATTCAAACAAAGAAATTGTTTTTATATTTGTACATTTATTTTCAAGTGGAAACCCATGCCATTGGTCACTGCAATTTCTCGCATTGCCATCATCCATTCCCTTGTTCATCCATGTTTGGTTTCTTTACATCTTTATCTTATGCCCAAGCTGTTTTAAATGATAAGTACTGATACATTTATAAATGAAAAAAAAGAGAGAATGTGGAGAGTGTGAGCATAGCTGGAAAAGAACGGGATCGGGCACCTCAACCTGGCGGGAGGGGCGGCACCTTTCACCAAGGGGACCCAAAGGCGGGGATCAGAATCTCAGGCCGGGTTTCCAAAGGACCCCTGGCGACCCGGCCCCAGATAGGAACGAACCATTCGGAGACGTCAAAATAAAAGAGATTCGCCGCTACCCAGCAGCGTCGGGGGCCCACGGTCACCGCTCCGCTAGCATACCATCTCTGGCGCTGCCACAATCGATACAACTCCTATTCTCGCTAATTCTGCATTCACAACTCGGCAAATCTCCCGTAGGGTTTTGGGTTTTGGTGGCCATGGCGACCGCTAGCATGACTTGCGCTGTGGCTGCTGGCTCGTCCAGGGGCTATCGAAGTATCTCGGAGAGTATTCAGCTGCGAGGAAGTGAGCTGCGCGTTGCATTCGTGCCGCGGCAGGGGAAGGCCATGGCTTCTGTGCGGAAGACTAGAGAGTGCACGGCCATGGCTGCTGGGAATGCGAATGGTGGAGGTCTTACGTACAAGGACGCTGGGGTGGACATCGACGCGGGCACGGAGCTCGTGCGGCGAATTGCGAAGATGACGCCGGGCATTGGAGGGTTCGGAGGCCTGTACTCCTTTGGGGACTCGTTCCTGGTGGCGGGGACTGATGGGGTTGGGACCAAGCTAAAACTGGCGTTCGACATGGACAAGCACGATACAATCGGCATCGACTTGGTGGCAATGAGCGTAAATGATATTATCACGAGCGGCGCCACGCCCATGTTCTTTTTGGATTACTTTGCTACCAGTCATTTAGACGTGGACCAAGCGGAGCAGGTGATCAAGGGAATTGTGGACGGGTGCAAGCAGTCTGGTTGTGCGCTGCTCGGTGGCGAGACGGCTGAGATGCCAGGGTTTTACGCCCCTGGGGAGTATGACTTGAGCGGATTTGCGGTGGGGAGTGTGAAAAAGGATGCGTTGATCGATGGGAAAAGCATTGTTGCAGGCGATATCCTGCTTGGCCTCCCTTCCAGTGGGGTGCACTCCAATGGGTTTTCGCTTGCCCGTAAGGTTTTGGCTAAGTCTGGGTCATCTCTTCACGACGAATTGCCTGGTGCGGGAATTTCTATCGGCGAGGCATTGCTTGTGCCCACTACCATCTACGTGAAGCAGGTGATTGAAACAGGTTGCTGTATATTTTTTTGATAACTACCCTGTTCCGTTTTTAGTTTCTGTTTCATGTTTCCGCAGCTTTCAGATTGGCCAACTCATTAACCTTCCTAGCCCTGTACTCTCGCCTTCTTGGCCCTGGATACCGTGTGGATATTATCAGTCCTTTTCTGATGATAGAAGAGTTACAATCCTCCTGCGTCCATGTTACATCATTTAGACTTCTTCGTTCATCTTATTTTGAAAGCTTCGATGACACTTCTGGGTATTTGGCTCACTATTCACAACTTACTCTTTATAATTCATGTTTGTTTCAGATAATCAGATAGCATGATGAACATATTCCTATAGCACCTTCTTCTGCTCATTCGTGTGTCCCGCTTACAGGTATTGGACCTCGTGGCCAAGGGGGGCATCAAGGGCATTGCTCATATCACTGGTGGCGGATTCACTGACAACATCCCTCGGGTATTCCCCAAGGGTCTTGGTGTGGAGATCGACGCAGGGTCATGGGAAGTGCCGCCTATTTTCAAATGGTTGCAAGAGCAGGGCGGAGTAGACGATGCGGAGATGCGGCGAACATTCAACATGGGTATTGGTATGGTGTTGATAGTTAACGAAGCCGTAGCGGAGCGCATCCTCTCTGAAGCAAACCCTGACGCCAAGGTTTACCGCTTGGGTCACATTATCGAGGGCGAAGGCGTCGTCTTCAAGTAGGGCGGGAAGCTATAATCATCACATTCCATCGAGGTTAAGCTTCTGACTGTTGGTTTTATTGATAGAATCTTGTAGGAGTAGGTGGGGAGATGGTGTAGTGCGGAATTATGCTCATACTGCAATCGGTCATCGACCGATTGGATACATTCGTCGTTCATTATGTGGAGAGATCCTTGCTGCTCCCTGTTGCGGACAAGTCTGGACAAACGAAAGTCCAGCTCGTCTAACAAAAGCAGCCCTAACACCTCCTGGTTGGAATACACACAAAGTATCCACTCCGCACTGCAGTTTGGGTTTCAGAGGATCGCAAGGAAAAGCAGAAGCTACGAATGAGGTTCCACCAAACCCAGTGACCCACTTTTAATGTGGCATTTTCAACACTTCGTTTTCCGAATACGTGTGGACAGGGACATAAAGATGCTTAGTCAATCAGGTTAGCTCCAGCTTCGTTAAAAACAAGAGATATTGATCATTGTGGTCATACTCGACAGCCGAACCTTTTCAACATCTCAGTGTACACTTGGACTTATGAATGAGAATCTCTCCGACCAAAGGATGTCTTCAGATTTGTTTGTCTACCGATCAGTTTGGCCTTCTAATCCATATACGAAAAATCTGCTTGGGGTTGCATGTGCTTGAAAGAAAGTTTGAATCAAGAACATGTCAGGCTTCTTATTTAGTTAAGATGAGTGTTATACATGCTTCTGGTGACACAATGGCAAGTGATAATTGACTGGAATTTGGGGATTTTGTTTGTACAGAAATGTAAGTTTTTGCACACCACAATCACTGACTGGACAATGGCATTTATGACACTTTTGTAGTGGCCAGTAAAACTGCACACGGTCTAGAACATAGAACGGTAGACATGTAAATGTCCTAGTTTGCTGGCACCGTTGGACATTAGACATTTTTTCATTTGACTTGAGGTAGGTGTGAGGCGAAGGATGAGGCGTCCATGACCAGTGTCCACAGCCATTGTTCACCATCGTGGGTACTCAACGTCAAAGTATCAAAACATGGTGTTGATGTGAAACATACATTATATTGTTAATTTGTATATTATGCTGATCACGTTTTTGTTGAATATTGATGTTAAAATTTTGTTGGCTTATTTTACATTAGGTTTTCTGTAATTTCTATAGATCATAATATTGTAGTAGACATCATTTGTAAAAATTCTATTACAAAATTGTGATGGTACATGATTAACTTTTTAAAACATGTTTATGTAATAAATGCATTGTTGAATGACTGTCTTTTTTATTTTAAAAAAATATATACAATACAAATAAGATTTTTTAAAACTAATCATTAAAATATTATAAGTGAAAAATATAATGGTATTATAACAATGCTATTTTATAATATGTTCATGTATATTGTATTTTGATAAGCCATTGTTTACATAGACTATGCAAGTGTGAACTAAAAGCCTTCACCTTATATATTGTCTAAAACATCAATTCATTAATAACAATGTTTTTGCAAGATTGATCTAATATCCATTACATAACATAAATCCATAATAATCTTAATTTAAAATATTAGTCTTTTAAAATCATCTAAGTCAACAATAATTTTTGATGTATTTGCAAACATTACAAAATATTAGATAGATAGATATATAGATAGATAGATAAATAAATAAATAAATAAATATAATGTGTATTATTAAATTAGAAATCAATTCTAATAATACAATAAATTGTGATTATTTATAGTATAAGTTCATCTAAAATATTAAAGATGGTTTCAATATTCTATCTAATAAGAATTATTATATATATTATAATATAACTAAAATATATTTTTATTTTTATTTTTTACTTCTACCAAAAATAAACTTAATGATATGTTTTTTCCAAGCATATGTAATATAAGAGTTTTAATTAATATTAAAAACTATATATACAACATATTTATATTAAGATACATATCTAAAGTTTATTAAATTTAATATTAAAAAATACATACAAAAACCAAATATTTTATGCTTATATGATTTTTGGTTCTAAATTTGAATGAAAAAAAGATAAACAAAACATCAATAGAAGACAAGATATTGACTAGACAAAATTTCTATTAGTTGAATGCAATTATGACTAATTGAGTATGGAAGCACATTAAATCAATTAGCAAGCTTGTTAAGCTTTTGCAATCTCTCAAATCAAATTCTTCTATAGAAGAATTATTTGCCAATTCATTTGACAAGCTTGTGAAGCTTGCACTATAATATTATGTAGAAATCAACTTGAGAATGCACTCAATGTTATATTTTATGTTGTCTTATTTGAAAATATAATGGATACTTGGTTGTGGAAGGTAAATTTATATTTTGTAATTAATAAAGAACCTAATAATCAAATTGGAATAAAAAGTTCATAATCTACTTAAGTATTGGCCGTCCTCATTTTTCAACCTTGATGTCAATTTACTAGCAACAATATTTCCTTATTGCATTGTTCACTTGTCTTCAAAATTTACAAAAATGTTGCAAGCTAAATCTACTATCACTTCACAAAATATTATTTCAATCCAATTGACAAATTGCTCAAAATTGTACAAATCCTTACTATTTTTTAAAATCCAATTTCTAAGAATCTAATCCAATTAAATTTTAATAAATTTTAATCTATCTATTTGACTAATCTCAAATTCACACAATATATTTTAAACAAGTATATTCACAAACTTATATATTTCTACTTCCTTATTGGCTACAATGCTCTTGAAATTCTCCAAAAATATAAACTCTTTTTTATTTCACAAGATTCCAAATCACCTAAAACTTTGCAAAACTCTTACAAAGTCAACAACCATCCAAATCACTCAAAATCAATGCTCAAACATTTATTATAAACTTTTCTGCTTGAATTTGCACTCCAATCAACCAAAAAGCCTTACAATTGCTACATGTGCATAGTTTTGTATCTCAAGGTCTAGTTTAAACCGTGGTTTTTAATTGGTCAATTTTGAGTATTAATATTTAATTTTTCTATGTAATTTTAACTGAAAGCTATTCTCTACTTCCACCTAAAGATGCTTATAATATTGTTCTTACTAATCTACTATATTTTGTCTTATTTATTGTCTTACAAAATAAATAGGAGTTTTTTTTACAAAAATGCAACATTAATATTGAATGTTTTTATTACCTCTTTATTTATTAATATTATTTTTCTAAAATAATTTGCCACTATATTTTTCAATTAAGCTCTTCTATAATATAATCCATATTTTTTTATTTTACCTAATAGTTGTACTACAATACAACATTAGCATTTGACTTGAAGGATTTGATTTTACCTTGAAGTTAGATGTACAATCTAAAAACAATGTATAAAGTGTTAGGAAGGCCTTTTTGACAATCTTGAATAACCTAAATAAGCTTTCAATTAGCTTATTATTTTTTTAAAAATTCTATAAATATCTTATTACACATTATTAATTTTAAATAAATCTTAAATAATCTTTAATAATCCTAATTAAATCCTAAAGAAATCTTAATCAATCTTGAAAAAATCTCAAAGAAATCCTAAAAAATTCGTAAAGAAGTTATAAAGAAATATTGAAAAAAATATTAATTAAATCCTAATTAACTCTAAAGAAAATTGTGAACCAAAATAAACCCCTACTGGTTGGAAGCCTATTCTAATTCACAACCATTGAATTATTTAAATGTTCTAACAATTATTGATTAATTTTTTAATTTATTTTATTTGATGTCCAATAATTTTAATAACATTCTAGTTTTGAAATAAGACAACGACCCTAATAGGTGATCTCATCTAATTCACAACTACTAATTAACTTATGAGTGATTAAATAAACAATTCTTCCTACTTATTAAGATAATTTAACCAATTTAACAAATTAAATTTACACTCAAGCAATCACAATCTACAATACAAGTCACACAACAATACTATCACTATACACAATTAATAGATTATCAATATTATATTATATTTATTTATTTTTATTTTCCTTGCTACAACGAAAAATCTTTTGATGGCCGGTAACATCTATCATCCCGCTGCAACACAGTTCCACAGCCACCAACAGCAAATAAGCGAGAAAAACCCCCGCAAGAGATCGGAACACTGTCGCCATCGACAACAGCTTTGAACTATAGATCAATCAAGGAAAAAAAATAATGTGTAGCACAGCCACACACCAAAGAGAATAAACAATTGCTGATTCTAAGTGAGCTTCTACACCATTGAGCTGCACCACAAGCTAATCGCAACTGCCATTGCGCCTTCATTGATCTCCACTACCTCAAGGCGCTATCACCTACTATCGTGCTGAACTCCAATCCAGCGCCACTTGTGAACTTACAACGCTACTCATATAATTCTCCAACCTCCACATGATACTTGCATGGAAAGAATCCTTGACACTACAAAATCCAGCCGGGGTTGCTAATCGATCGACCGCAAGATCACCAACGTCAACCTTGGCATTACGCTGCCAATGCATAGTGCGTATGAAAAAAAAATACAAGATTTGCTCGTACTTGAAATGTTGCAATGCAGCACCTCTTTGCGTCGCTTCAATCGCACATTAGCTTACACCACCACACCTTGCAACGGCTGCCGCAACATCCACAAGCCCAAACCAAAAACACACTTTAAAGTGCCATTTAATAAAGACACGAGCAGAGATAAACCAGAACCAAGAGGACAAGGCAGAGCTGTACCGCAGCACTCCAACCAAGCAAAAACAAAAAAGATGAGGGAAAATACTGCACCGCAATATCCCCACCACGTGAAGGAAACGGAAAAAAAAATTCAGAGCGCCCGGAGCTCGTGGAGACATGAAGAAAAAAAAAACCAAAAAAAAATACTAAGGAGTGAGGGATCTGGTAGCCGGAGCCTAATGATGAGGGAGTTGCCGCCATTTAGGGGCAGCCTCTCGCCACCTTGATCACCTTTTAATTTAATTTTTAATTTTTAATTTTTATTTTTTCATCCTTCTTTTTTCTGTTTTTCTTTTTCTTTTTCTTTTCTTTTGCCCTTCATTTTTCTTCTGTTCTGCCCTTTTTCTTTTCTTTTTTTCTTTCTTCTTCTCTTCTATTCTTTTTAAGACTCTTTTGATTTTTTATTTTATTATATATATATATATATATTTAATAACACACACACACATATATATATATATATATATATATGAAAGTTTTAAGTAATTTTAATTAAATCTAATCAAATTTTAATAAGAAAAATTCCTAATTCGTTGGACTGTTGGCCCTCCTCTTTTGACCTATTGTCAATCTTTGAGTTTCAATAGATTAATTTTTTATTATTTTCTTACTGTAAATATTTGTATAAATATTAAAAACTTAATCAACTATCAATTCATAAAATTTTTATTTCTATCTAACTAACAAATTGCTAATAATCATAGAAACCCTTAATAATCTTCAAAATCTAATTTTTGAGATCCTAACCTACTTAAACTATAATGACTTTTGATCTAACCATTCAATTAAGCTTAATTTCACAACATACATTTAATGCAATAATTTCTACAAACCAAAGAATTTCAATTATATAACTAATATAAAACTTATAAAATTCATCAAAATATTATTCTTATTTTATTCTAAAAAGAATCAAAATAATTCTAACTCTAAAAAGATTTTATAAAGTTATTATCTACTTAGATCTCTCAAAACTAATTTCTGAATTTCTTTTTATTATTTTTTCTTTCCAATGTGAGGTAGAATAAACCCCCACTAGTTCACTCAAGAACTTAGCTTTAACTTATTATATCAATTACATGCATTGTAACATAACATTCAACTAATTTAACATTATTATCTCTCTCCAATTAATTTAATCAAAATAGAACTCAATAAAATTCACCACATACAATCAATCATGGTTTAGAAGTTTTCATCCATGAATAAAAGTTCACCTTTTAATAATAATTCATATTTGAATAACAGCTCATCTTTGAATGACCATTCATCTATTAATATATTTTTCATCTAGTAGTAATTTCATCCAAATCCTAACCTAACTCCATCCAATCCTCCGTGTTTATGAGGGAGCAGACGACGACTCCAACTCAAGTGATTTTGTAGAATGTGTCTACCTCCCTATTTTTTTGGTTCTCTTCCTAAATTTTAACCTCTAAGTGAAGAGCGGCAAGCTTTGATGAAGAAACCGTCTCTGAACAAAATTTGCACTTCCCAGTCTGATCGGTTGTTAAGAAGAACCCCGAAGTCCACTTCATGTACTTGAGAACTTCATCAAAGGAACAGTACACTTGGAGGAGAATTTGAACTTGAGGATGACTGTCAAAGAGCAGCATTACCACCAAGTCACGTAGTTGAGTTTACGGAATGCCGATTTGATGGAAGTCCTTCACATCTTCCTTCTACTGTCTTTGTCCCAATGAATTAAACCCCAACTGATACGAGCTTGCTACTTCATTGACGACTATGGCGGCAGTTGAAGAGTTGCAATCAAGGAACCGACGGCACGCCACTCCAACTGCAGAGCCACACGAAGAAAAGAAGAACAAAACATGATCACGTCGTCGATGGTTTCATCGACAACCCAGCAGCTCCTCACGGACTGGATACCAACGTGAGAAACATGAACCTTGTTTTCTTCCTCCGGTTCTAGGAAACAATGCTAGACAGATCTAGCACCTTGCGCCCTGCCAAATAGGAGAGTGGAATGATGCTAGTTGGGTTGGTCCAGAGCAACAACCTGCGAGCGTATGATATGAGCAAATGGTTGCTGTGCAGGGGACACAAAGAGGTGAGGGTGATGATGAAGATAGAAAAGCCAAAAAAAACAAGCAACGACAGATTTAAACAAGCTCCCCAACTTAAAGAAGAATAACAGCAAGGAATCTACGGCGATGATGGAGATCTAGAAAAAATGGATTAAAACAAAGATTTAAAGGAGGATTAGTAGCAAGAGAGCAAGAAGAATACGATCAGCAAGAGCCAATCTACGAGAACAACAAAGAGGGCTAACATCAAGAGTAGATCACAATTGTCAAAGGAAAAGAACATCAACATGGAACCAGATGAGAAATAGTTGGAACTAAAGTCAACCAAGAACTCCAACCCCGTAGGCAAACTGCTACTCTGGAACTACCAACAGCTACAAGACATGAGGACCAGAAAAATCCAACAAAAATGATGCATTCGGAGACTAGCAGAGCAAAATTGCCTCTACAAGCAGTCCTATAACTCAACAAGGAAGAAAAAACCTGAACGATCCCAGCAGCTCCAATGGCACTCTGCAGGAATATTCATGTCAGAGAGCAGTCCAGCTGCCTAATCCACATTGCTTGGAGCTCCAAACTTTGGCAGTAGATGACCACCAATTTTTGAAGAAGGTAGCAACTTCTCAACAACAATACCTCACCACATACTATAAGAGAACCTACATAAGAGAACCTCACTACATATATATTTATTTAATTAAGAAGTACTAGGCAAAAGGTAAATATAGGTAGATTTGATGTTATCTTATGGCAAATCTTCTTAAAAGCTTTATAGAAGCATATTTCACTTTACAAATGTTTATAGTTGATTGATAGGTTAGAAATTTGGCCAACAAGTTAATAATGTATGACATGTGTCGATAGCTTGTGGTATAGTATGTGTACAAGTTGAGACATGTGTCTTGCAAATTAGACACATGTTGGAGGTCCTATAGAATGTTGCCATGCACCTCTTAGTTAGATAGTATATATAGAGGCAAGAGTCAAGCCTTTTTTATTCTTGTCAATACATTTCTAGTCCTTTTTTTCTTTCAAGACTTTCTAATCTTCTTGTCTTTAGCAATAGCTATTCTAGTTTAATATTATACTATCTTTGAATGTTTTTCTAATATTTTTGAGTAATGCAAGGGTGTATTAATCTTTTAATTCTTTGAGATTCATATCCTTGATAGTTTGACAAGGATAATAACTCATTATTCTTATTTTTTTTAAAAAAGTAAAAAAATTATTCTACTTCTATTATTGTATTATAAATTATTTATCTTTGAATTAATAATTATTTTTCTAATATTATTTTTTTCTTTAAAAAAAAATTACTTCTCTTTTTAGAAATTTTAATTGATATTAGAGGTTGTAGATTACCCTCTTATAATTTATTTTATTGATTTATTTGAATTATTTATAAAAAATTATAGATGCTATTTTTGGCAAAAATAAAAATAAAATTATAATTATTATAGATCTTTACAAACTTGTTAATATTTTTAAAATAGAAATCTCATGTATTTCTAATTTAAATGATATAGATATTATTTCTACATCCATAGAAGAAATCAATAATAAAAATTCAAAGACTATGTCAAAAAATTGTGTAATTGAGAGATACAAGTAGATCAAATTTACAATAAAACTTAAGAAGCCTTGTTACTATAAATATAAAAGGAACAAGCATAAGTATGCCAAAAAAGTTTAATGGAAGAAGATCAAAGTTAACAATTTTTATTATAAATGAAGTTTTATCTAAGGTTACATCCTTCTTGATAACTTGATGGATTTATTTAAGTTGAATTTACAGATGCATTTCTATCTGTACTTTTGATAGAAAAAGATTCACAACTATTCTATGATTTGAATTTATTCTTAGAAGTGTTTATAGCTATATTTTAAAAAATGATCAAGAAAAGGTAGCAAAGATATAATTTGTATCTTTACAACAAGGTGTCATGAAAATATGCATGTAAGCCAGTAATTACATATATAAATAAGTAGAAGTAAGTAAAAATAGGTAAAAGTAAGTTAATTCTAGAATATCTTCTATGAAAGCTTCCTAGAAGCTTCATAGATACTACTTTGACTTTATAGGTGTCTTTAATTGACTTTTTGGATTAGAAACGTGGTCAACAAGTTAGCCATGTGCCACACATGTTGTTAGCTTGAAGACCAAGCTAACTATGTGATCCACACATAAAAAAACTTGCCTTGTAAATCAAGGCATGTGTCCTATAAAGTCAACATATATTGGAGGTCCTATAGAATATTGCCACGTAGCCCCTAGTTGGATAGTATATATAGAGATAAGAGTGAAGCCTTCTTCACTCTTGTCAACTCTTTTTTTGCTTCTAGTCTAGTTTCAAGGGTCTCTAGTTTTCTTGTCTTTTGGCAATAGCCATTTCAGTTTCTTTCTTAATATACATATGAAGTTATTTCTATTTTTTCATCTTTCTTTGACAGATGTCTTACTTGTTTATTTATTTTTATCAAATTCTTGTCCTTGACAGATTGATAATTATAATATACTTATAATATCAGAGCTTTGTCTAAACTTGATTAAGAGTAGATTACCCCTTTCTCTTGATAAGACATAAGCGTATTAGAAGTTGCTGATTACCCTCTTCTAAACTGATATTGTCTTTGGTATTTTCTTTGTTCTCAAGTCCTCTCTTCTATTTTTCTTGAGCAATATCAGACATATTTTCTTTTTTGAGTGTTATCATGGCAGAACTTCTTGAAATGAAAAGTGCAATGGCACAAATAGAAGATCAATTTAGAGAGTTAATACTTGTGATGCATCAATTCAATTTACCACCACAAGGAACAACAAGATTGATAGGAAGTGAAGATATAGAAATGATTGGAGCAGCTTCAGCATTTGCACCAAATCATGTCTCTTCTCTTATGGTGGAACGCCCTTCTAGAGTTAGAGAACCTAGAATTGCCCTACCGAGAAGTTTGATGGCACCAGATCAAAGTTTAAAGGTTTTATCAATCAAGTACAACTTATGATTGAACTTCAACTCTAAATCTATCCAATTCCAAGATCGCAAGTTAGATTCATTAGTACGCTTCTTTTAAGTTCAGCATTATT